TGTGCACATGCATGCAAGATGCAAGAAACTGATTGTCTGCTCCCCGCAAGATTTATGCCACTTGCCGCTTGTTTTATATACCAACGTGATTTAAATTATTATTTCAAATGACCTTAAAATAAATCTAAGGTCAACCGAAGGCCTATTTTAATTCCAGGCACCTTTTACAAGAAATATATTAGAGAACATGGGAAAAAGATAAACCACAGATCTATAACTCAGTTTCTTATTGGAGGGCTTTGTGTTATTCCATTTTTTTATCCCAAACCATTCCACCAGCTTAATTCATCCGAGCAGTAGCTATTTATCAGCTGCAATCTTCCAATGTACTTTCCACTTTGAACAATGATATGGGCTCACTCAGCGTTACAGCAAAGCTTGCATTAAAATCACCTTTGCCATTCCATTCCCATTGATGTGTAATTGAAACCATTCAGATCAAATTGAACTTACTGTTTTCCTACATTCTTCAAATAGGCTTTGGGAGATGTCAGTTAGCAGTAGATGATAACAACCTGATCAAGAATGGAGCTGAGATACAGATTAGGACCAGATGTCCTCTACCTGTCCTTCACAATCAACAAAATTTGCAAGTTTGGCTTGATGTTGCGTTTTGACCTTGATGCTGGTTTTGTATATGGACACAGCCAAGATCCCTGACTTGAGGGATCGTCTGGGACAACAACCCACTCTTTGTGAAAATAAACCTTCCTGCAGTATCTATCAGATCCATTGTTTATATGTTTCGTGGATGTGCTTTTCCCGGGCGACGCGACTGTTAGAGTGCATTATATTTAACATCCCAAAAAACCCATATCCATGACAACAGGAGTAAAGCTGACTGCCCACAGTTCTCCAGTGACTGACAGGCCTGATGAAGAATCGATCACCGATGGCCTGTAATCTCATATGTGACAGAACACTTCTAGACTTGATCCTGTCAGACCTCACATGACACATAAAGAGGATTACGCCTGACACGATTTTTATTGTCAAGGTAGTTTACCTGAAACACTGTGAAAGAGTGTTTGATGGAGGAAGGTCAGAAGTGAGGGGCCCACCGCACTGCATATGAGCCCAGAACATCCCTAATCATGAATATCGGATTCTGAGCTGAGCTTGATCTTTAAAGTCATCACACTTTGATGGGTAGGGCCTCTGCAGCCTCAGAGAGGGGGCGGGACAGGTGGGGACTGTCATATTGCTTCTCTTGCTGGAAGTTTTGCAATCAGACTTCAGGCCAACACAAGCATCGCCGACTTGGCATGATACCTTTCAAAGCATCCCCAGTTCCGAGCACTTCAACACTGCAGCAGCGTCACTGGATGCGGCCTGGAACGTGTCATTCATCACTGTGTTCCTTCTGAGGCTTAGATGAATCAAATCTTTGAAGTGCTCACCCTTTGACAGATTTGGCCTTTAGCCCCCCCCCCCCCCCCCCCCCCCCCCCCCCCCCCCCCCCCCCCCCCACCCCGCCTTTTCTCCCAGCATGCAACGGTGTGATGAAGTTACGAAAATAGAATTAGAAGATCAAATACCTTCTGCTTGTTCATGTGTCTAAATAGGTGAAACATCCTGGAGCCTCTTCTCAGTCATGATGTCATCTTTAATGAAATCCTCTGTTTTAAATAGGTTGCTGGTACTTTCTACAGTAAAGGTTCAATCCTGCAGACATATGGTGGGGTTATTATTATTCTCACAATTGTTATCATTTACAGGGTGATTCACTGTAGCCTGTAATGTATATTTTTGTCGACTGCAAGTAAATACAGCTTCGTCCTTATAGTGGGGGGTGTCACTGAAAGGGGGGAACAATGCACTCAAATTATTTGGGATTTTACTCAGCATTAATATACC